ATCAATTTTAAAAATGATATAGAAACTTTAATCAAATAATTTTTACTTAAAAGGAAACAATTTTTTTTTCATCCAAAATACTTAAAAAAATGTTTTTAGGAAAAGAGTAGTAGACATTTTAGATTAACTCCAACAAGTAGCTGTAATTCAGTTTCATAAATTTTAAACAGTATAGACTAATATCAATCATATTGTCAAAACCAATGACTATGAAAGGAAATGGTTATTGGTAGAAATGTTAAAGTATATTTTAATTTTTCAAGTTATGCCATTTAATAAATGTGTCCCAACATTTTAGTTAGGCTAAATTACCTAAAAATACATTAGTTTATTTTAAAGACCAAGTTCATTAAATTCTTCACACTTTTATGTCTCAGTATTTTAATTTTTCCAGTTTAATACATAAACTTTGAAGAATTCAAGTGGTTTATGATAAAGTATTAATGTTTTGCTCTCATAAAAACCTTGGATACTATAAAAAATACCTACATGTATATGCAGGATTCTCCCCATAGAACACTTAGAAATCCTTCTTTACTGCTTGGTATTTTACTACTTAGTGAATATATTGCTAATTTTTCTTTTCTAAATTTTTCTTCTGGATACCCTATATTAAGCTTAAGAAAGCAGGTTTTTTTTTTTTAACTTGCATAAATCCATGCTAACAAAATTTGTTAACTTGAATTTCATTTTAAAATTGTATATCCTGATACATGTTTTTGTTTGTTTTCTTAAATAGTGAAAAAGGCCATAGATTTTAAATCTAGAGGATTTAAATTGTTTCCAGGGAAAGACAACAGCAACAAGTTTTCTATCTGTGAGTGTACCCCTTTTTTTGTTACTTTCTCTAGTGCAAGAGTGAAGTTTGTGATGTCTGTGTTATTTGTGTGTGTTTTATAAGTTTGTATATTTACCAAATTAACTGCATTAATATCTATATAACATGCATGATTATTATTCAGTAACTTACTGTAATTAAATGTATATTGAGTTAATGGATTAATATGATACACCCCCAGCTCAGCTTATTTCAAAAGGTAAATAAACTCTTTTGACTTAGTATGTTGATAATACTCTAGTTTTGTAATTCCAGGATATGAGATTTAAAAGAAGAAAAGGAGTGAAATTTCTAAAATCAGAGGTTTCTTGTAGGAATTTTTGTTTGATCATATCTAAATTTCAACAAAATTACTTTTCTAAGGAAAGGCATTAATAACAAATTTTTATTTAAGGAAAAAATATATACTTAATTGGAATTTAAATATCCAAACCTTTTAACTCAATAGTCTTTTGTGAATTAATTATGACGTTCATCCATGAATCTTATTATGAGTCACTAATGAATGCATTTATTTACATTACTATACATAAACATAAAAAGTTTAGGAGAGGTATGCATTTTTGTAGTATAAATCAATAGCAGTTTGTAGAAAACAGCCTTGCTGTTTATACAGATAGATATTATGAATTTTGAAAGAAGTCATTTATGACACAGCATCTGACTTCTACAATAACATGTTGGTAGTAAATAAGATTAGTTATGATAAATAATGTGTTATTTTAACAAGACTTTATTTTTAGGATTGTTTTTTATTTACTTCCAAATCATCAGGTAAAATGAGTTTAACACTAAATATTCATTGATGTGATTCTCTCTCATCATTGATGTTTCTATCTCTCTCTCCCTCTCCCTTCCTCTTTGAAATCAATAAAAATATACTTTAAAATAAATAAATAAATAAATAAATATTCATTGATGATAGTTCCAACACAAAGTACCTACATGTTTATTGCTTTCTATATATAATAGACAGTGACACAAATTGAGCAGTTCCATCAATTATCTAGAAATAAAATTGGAACCTGTATGTTATAAAAACATTTTTAAGTGTCATAATTTTAAAATGTGATTTTTTATATTATGTTAGATTTGAAAATACTATACCAAAAATGGCAGATATCTGTTGGAAATTCTTTATGAAATTGGATTATCAGTTAGGAAAACACTAATCAGTTCATTTTGAAGTGTTTAGCTATATAATTATGATTTTTGTTACATATTTGGGTTTCAATCGTATTTTCAAGATTGATATGTCAGTGTTTAAGGAAAACGAATAGTGCGATAGTATTTTCATTAATTGTTTGATACATTTTGGAAAGTAAGATATTTTCCTAGAATAGGAAATATAAACAGAACAAGTTACATATAATTATTCTGACATATCAAATTTCATCATGTCAACGGGAAATAAAAGTTAAATGTTTGCAGTGTTAAATAATAGTTTTGCTACCTTTATTTCTAACATTTTGTCTGGCCAATATAATTATTTTGGAATTATTGGTGGAATTATAAGACATGACTATTCACCTTTTCCTCATTTTGGCTACACTGTTATTTTATATGCTACTTGCTTTATACTTTTATATATCCTAGAAAATTCAAATTATTTATACTAAAATATTTTAGATTTATTAAGACATTAATATGTATGTAACTCTGTATACTTGGTATATTGATTAGTGGGCATATATATTTTGTTCATTGTTTTTGTACATGAGTTATGAAGGTGATCAAGAAAGGAAACAGACATAATAGTATTTGGGAGTTATTGGGGTGACCTGGATTAAAAAAATTCTTTAAAGAATATTTGCTTTAAAATTGTCAATCAATTTAATAGGTCAAAAAACTTAATATGAAACAAAAGAGTTAATTTACTTAATAAATTCATAACAAATTTTGTACTTCTCTATTGTATTTTATGTGAGAAGAAAAACCCTTGTACTTACTTATTTTTACTTTTGCATATAAATAATCCCACTTCAATCAAAACAAATTATGCCAAATTTTTAAAGTCACAAAATAACAAGCCGTTATTTTACATTTTTTACTATAATTTTTATCTAATACTTAATCACTACTTTCAAAAATATATTCTCTATGACTTTTAAAGAAAAAGAATATATTTCAATTTTATCATTATTATATATCTGTTATCAAATAAGCATTTGGGGCTTCATTTCTTTGAGATCATTTATTTAACACAGGACCAAAAAATTTTAAAAGGAGCCATTTTTATATGACACTTTCAAATGCAAAGAAAAAAGTAAAGCTTGTGGAATTTGTAAAAACAATAAATTCTGTTACTGGAACTGCCAGAAATGAGCAAATTGTGCAGGACATGAACACATACTGCCAAAGCATGTCTTTCCACAACAGCACTTGTAAAGTTTATCAAGAAGCAAATTAATAAGAGGTTCAGAAAGCTGCAGGTAGTCCTCCTGGGGAGCATTTGGTTGTTTGGATGGCTAATTCTGATTTTTCTTCTAACTTTCGTGAGTGAAATTAAATAGTCTATATTCCTCCTTTGTTATTCTTCATCAAAAAGAGTACGTTTGCGGAGAAAGGAAAATTATACATACAAGTTCTTATACTTAAAAATGTGAGATTTCGTGAACTAGAAATCTTGCCAAATTTTCTACTAAATTCTAGAATATTCAGGTGTAATAATAAAGAAAATGTGAGCTTCCTATGATGCGTTGTTTTGTTTATTTTTTTTCATCTTCTTCAAATCCATACTTTCATTCATTCTACAATTCTATTTGAGCTACTTCTCCATTGCAGCACCGTGCTAGAAGGTAAAAGAGTGAATGAATAAAGTACAGTCTCATATAACAATTTATAAATACATATAATAAAGACACTTCAATGTTATAAGAAATAATAATTTATTTGATTTTTAAAATGCTCTCATTTTTGTCCTTTCTTTTGCCACAAATGTCTGGGGAAAAAGGACTCATGTTGAAATATTGATAATAGTAATAAAACACTTAAAGATCAGAGCAAAAGGGTATGCCTCATAGTAATGCTCTTTTCAAGAGGCAGCACCCTGTTCATGTATTTCCACTTTTAAACAATACTTATGTTCTGACCATTTTGCAAGAAATAAAGTGATCAACCACCCAGCCAGTGTGGCTCAATGGTTGAGCATTGACCTATGAACCAGGAGATCACGGTTTCTCAGTCAGGGTACATGCCCGGGTTGCAGGTTCAATCCCCAGTAGGGAGTGTGCCATAGGCAGCTGATCAATGATTCTCTCTCATCACTGATGTTTCTACTTCTTTCTCTCCCTCTCCCTTTCTCTCTGAAATAAATAAAAATATATTTTTTAAAGGTGACCAATCTGTTCAGTTACCTAAATAGCATTATGTAGTGGAAGCAGCTGATTAAGTGAATGCTAACTTTATTTGAATGTCTTGGCATCACTAGCTATGGGTAATTATAAATTTCTAAATATCAGATAAATAAGTGATTACACATTTTCTTTATTTTTATTTTAAATGTTTTTAATCAATGAACATTAAATACATGTATCATGCAGAAGGTTTCCGGTTATCTTGCATTTTAAATTGGGAAGTCATTGCCATATAGCAGATGTTCAAAAACACAATTGTTCTAAAGCACAATCCCAAATAGACACAAATAATTAAAATCTGAGATTAACTAACTGAAAATGGTGAAAGTAATATCTATGCTTTGCTTTGTAAGATAAAATGTCTAGAAAGTGTTTTTCAGTTTTAATTAATGATGCTGTTTTGTCCCGGTGAGATTTCTAGACAATTTATAGGGCTCAAGAGTTAAGAGTAAAATTTCTCCAATCAATCTGCTAAGGTTTAAACCTAGACTAAAGCATTAATTAACAGTATGACTTTGAAACATTTCTAACTTCTCCATGCCTCAGTTTTCTCACCTGAAGGAAGTGTAGAATATGAGTAGATACTTTTAAGATTGTTGTGAAGAGTAAATGAGTTGATACACGTAAAATAGATGTAGAATAGTTTCTGATGCATAGTTAGTGCTGTGTACGTGTTTTAGCTATTATAACATTTATACAACCCAGGCTTGCTTTTTGAGGCAATAATGACAAAGAAATGGAAAAATATGTTTTATTATTTTTTATTTCTAATATGTTAATAAAGTACTTCTAGATTATCAACACATAATATTTTATATATTGTAATATAATGTTATCTATTATAATAGAGTAGGTAAGTATAGTCTTACCACTTACTTTCTTCTCTACCTCATGCTAAAAAATATTTTTTTGCAATAAAGGAAGATGCTTATTCTTATAAAATATATAATAATTTTTATAAAAGCCATTTAAAGATATAAAAGATAGTGCTTCCCATAGAAAATACTTGACTCACTGAGAATCATAACAAGGATATAGTCATTAATCATATAACTAGGACATATTTACTGTTAGTAAGTCCTTTTAGGCATTGTGGGTATATTAAAATAATTATAAGTCTTCCAACTATATTTATCAGGGATATACTATTGTGTGCCTATGACTAAAGAATGTGAAACTACTCTTTTATAATATGATAAAATAACTTTAAAATTAACTCTACATTTTCCATGATATATAAAAAGAGGGATGTGAATAATCTGAAAAAAATGAAAGATTGTATTTTGTAAAAAGTAGCACATGATATGAGTCTTGAAAATTAAATAGGATTTTGACAAAGTGGAAGAAAGGGAAAACATGGAGATATGGAGAAAGCACGAAGCATAGACTAAGCAAGGCGAACCACTTCTGTCACTAGGAGACACTTCTGACCTGTTGGATATAACAAGTAAAATTGCAGAATGATAAAGAATCTGTTGCTCTTGAATTATGGATGTGTCTTGATGACCAGTGAGAAATACAATTAATATACTAGAAATTCAGGATAATAGAATTGAACAGTAATAAAAATTTTGTTTGAGGAAGTTCAGTCCTCAGATAAGATGGATTGGAGCTGAGTAATAATGGAATCACAAAAGCATCTTGGTCAGGTTGGTTAGAGCATGCACATGAGATGACAATAAGAATTTTTATTGTATTTACTTTTAACATTTTATTGATTTTTTTACAGAGAGGAAGGGAGAGGGATAGAGAGTTAGAAACATCGGTGAGAGAGGAACTTCAATCAGCTGCCTCCTGCACACCCTCTACTGGGGATGTGCCCGCAACCAAGGTACATGCCCTTGACCAGAATCGAACCTGGGACCCTTCAGTCCGCAGGCCGACGCTCTATCCACTGAGCCAAACCAGTTAGGGCAAGAATTTTGTTGGTTTAGTAAGTCATTGAAGGAACAAGAAAGGAACTTGGAAAAGATGGCAAAACTATACATTGAAAGTCATAAGCAAAGAGGTAATTTTTCAAGCTGTGAAGGAAATATAAACTATAGATAACTATTGGTCAGTGCCTTTGAATTTGTCCACTCTATGTGATATCAACAAAAGTAGCAGAATAGCCACATACACACACACACACACACCAAAAAATAAAACAAAAAAGCCAAAGACAGGTAAAATGGAATTAAATAGGAAGTCAACAGACCAAGGCAACATACATATCACATGCTTTGACCAATGAATATGTAATAAAGTCAGCAATAAGAGTATTGTTGAGCTATGGCTATTTAGGCAATTGGTTTTTTACAGAATAAAGAATACAAAAGTAAAATTTAATATCTAATTGAAAATATGTCAGCATTATTAGAGACATGAATGTTGGGCCATCATCTGATAATTATCTTGCTATTTGATAAATCAGTTTAAGCACATTGACTAGTCTGAACTAAAGGATGCAGGGATCCAGCTGTTCTCAATATTGACTTTACTTTAGAATCACTTTGAGGTTTATTACAAAATAAAAACAAACAAAATTGATGCCAGGTTCTGCCATAGATTAAATATGTTAGAGTACTTAGAGGCAGAAGTAGCCATCTTTATTCTTTAAAGAAAGCTCCACAGTGATTTTAAGCCATTGTGTAAGATGAGAACCATTACAAGGTTTATACATTTTTTTCTTTTCTGAAATCTCTGCTGAAAGATACTATTCTTTTCTTTTTACAAAAATTATTTGAATTTATTGGATTGATATTGACTAATAAAATTATATAGGTTTAAAGTGT